GTATATTCGTATTTATATATTTATTGTTTATAAGTTGCCCACAAGGGGGCGGTATGCAACGGGGTGCAAAAAGCTGTAAACATTCTTTATTTTGGGAGCAATAAACCATAGAAACAAATAAAAATGTCACTGGGGTTAAAATAAAAGTAAAAATAAAATAAATAGCAGTGACAGCAGCATACAAAATGAGGTATTATTCATACAACCTGACCCTGCCTGCTGACAGTGCTCTGACAGCCTTTCAGTTTGTGCAGTGTGCAATACCTCTTATGAAAGTCTCAAAGTCCTTCAGAATTTACATTTATGTAATACATAAATACATAATACATAAAGACTAACTTTAGGCATTTATAAATGTTTATTTGTCATTAATTAGTAGTGTTCTGTGTTACACTTTATGATAAGTCTGACAGTTGTGGATATTTATAGCACAGTACAATATTAATATGTTAAAATACGTGTTTCTTATTGTTATTGTGCYCACAGTAAGCTAGTATGAAATATTTAATACAGCACCTTTAGATGTAACGTGAACAGATTTGTCTCATTTGGTAAGAAACTGGAAAGTTTTGTCWTTTTCTCGTTTTTAATTATTTCATAATTAACATTTATTAATGATTTACAAAGTGTTTACRGATGAATTCATAACCTATCTATAAACTCTTTATAAGTTATCTATAAGGGGAGCCWTWTTGTAAAGTGGTACAAAAAAGTTTGCACAGTAAAYYCTCCTCACCAGTTTTTCATWCATTTTACTGAACATAGATAAAATATTCTCAAACACATCATGTGAGAAAATCCAGCCGTCATTTGTCAGTTAAAAGACTTTTTATGCAGGATTGTTCAAACTTTCTTAAGAAGAGAAGAAGAACTCTGTCAGCTTGATTCATTCTGGACTTCATTATTTCACTCATTAGCGCCTCTAGTGTTTGAACATGGAACTGCACCCACCATCATCASTCCCAGGTTAAAGAGTAACTTACCCCCAAATTAACTTTTTTTAGCTGATAAGCTGTCTAGAATGTGTCTAAAATGTTATATAGTACTGTTTCTGTGCTAATTTTGATGTTTTTGTGCGTATTTGTTCAAATCTGTAATATTTGTTTGTTGTAAAAAAGTCTTTTTGCTGCTCATATGGGTAGAGCAGTGGTACTGCAGGCTAATTTACATACTGGTTAACGGCTCTCCACGGTG